TTTTTAAATTACTTTATTTAACGCTTTATTACCTTTTTTTTTGTTAAAATATGGGTATGGTTTAAATGGTTGGTAATTATTTTAACAATTTTTTGTAAATAAGCTAAATAATGCCGTTACTTTTCGAAAAGCTTTTTACAATCGCTAACAATTTTAAATTAAAAATTGCATAGCGCAATTCTTTTTATTGCAATTTTTTCGATATATAAGTTACCGGGTACTACCGGCCGTTTTGCAATTGCAATAGCACCGCTTTTATCGCAAAAGCCAAAACGTTAATTCGCACGTACAACGGCTTCGAAAGGTTAAAATGCACTAATACCGGAACTTTCGTAAATAGCAATTTTAATTTGCAAAAAGCCTTTTTCGCAACATTCCTTAAATAAAATACGGTATTTTTGCTAAAAAAGTCCGTTAAAAGCATAATAATTTTCGCGTAACCTTTTACGAATTTCCGATAATACCCCGTAAAGCCCAAAAACATTTAAATATTTTTAACGCTTTCCGGTATCCTCCATTTTAAAATTGCAACAACTTTATCCGGCAAAATTTTAACCCCGAATTTGGTTATCCTAAACCCTAAAAAATCGATACTATCCGTTTCGAATTCGCATTTGGCCGGGCTAACGTAAAGTTTAAACCGTTTAAATCGTTTTAGTACCGTTTTTACTGCTTTGCGGTGCTTTTTTTGTATTTTCGAAAAAATAAAAATATCGTTTAAATATACAATGCAATTGCTATTAATTAATTTTTTAAACGCTATATTAATAAAGCTTTGGAACGTTGTTAAAATGTTGGCCAAACCGAAAAGCATTATTAAGTATTCGTAATGTCCATATTTGCAACGGAAAGCAATTTTTTACTTATTTCCTTATCGAATCCGTATTTTGTAATAAGCGTTTTTTAAATTTAGCTTAATAAAGTACTGGCTTTTAAACACCCGGTTAAATATTTCGTAAATTAACGGAAATGCCAACCGGTTTTTCCTGGTAACCCTATTAAAACCCCAATAATTAATACAAAAGCAAAGCTTTCCGTTTTTTTTTAAAACGAATAAAATCCCGGCGCCGGCGGGGCTAATTAAATGCCGGATTTAACCTTTCGCTATAACTTCGTTAAAATACCCCCGGAAAGTTTTTAATTCCTTTTTGGATAAAAAATAAATGCTTTTGTAAAGCGGCATCGTTTTTTTTTCCAATTTAATCGCGTAATTCCAGCTTGTATGTTTTAGCAAAGGGTTCGATTTATAAAGCTACGTATGTTTTACAATTATCTTTTTAACCCATTCCGGAAAAGCTTTTAGCCTTTCCCCGGGGTTTTCCGGGGTTTCCGAACGTGCAACCGTTAATACGGTTATCGCTTATCCCGATTAAATTAATTCCTTAGCTATTTCCAACGAAATTATTTTAACCTTTTTAGTAATTACCGGAAACCTTTACTTTATATTCCCAAACCGAATTTTAATATCCTTTTGCTAAAGCCAAAGCATGCCCAACGTAATGTCGTACCCGGCCCGGGGCATTATTACGTAAAATACCATTAACTTTTGGGTTATTTCCTAACTATCCGTTATTTAAATTTTATATTCCTTTACTTTTAGCGTAAACATGCGTTTTTTGGTATCGAATTACGCTAAATAGCCCCCGTTTAGCACCGGTATTTTTTTTGCTTTTACCAAAAAACGGTTATACAGCAAATTAACGTCGTTCCCATTGTTAACCAACGCTTTTAACTTTACCCGGCAACCGTTAATCCGTAAATACATTTCGGTTTTCCAACGCGTTTTAGCCACCGGGGCGCACTTTTAAACCCCGGTGCTTAAACGGCCAAACAACGGTATCGAATTAGGTAGCGATATTTTGCTTTTTTTGGGGCACGCCGGCCGGATATAGCCCAATTCCCCATACCCGTAATACCGTACTTCGGGCCTTTTCCTTTTCGCTTTTTATATAATCGTTGGGGCCAACGGGGTTTCCGGGTTGTTCGTTCGTATTTTGCATGCTGCAACGATATAGCTTAATTGCTTGCATTTAAAGCAAATAACCGGCTTTTTGGGGGCTAAAACATTTGTATCCCCCGGGGTCCCTTTATGCGGTTCCGATATTATTTTTGCTTTAAAAGCTTTGGTTTGCAATTTTTCCATAATGTAAAAAAAGCTTCCAAATGTTATTCGTTTTTAAATTTCGGGGCGGAACCGGTTAAAAAGCAATATTGTCCTTATCCATTTAAATATTAATTCGGAAAGGTTATCCTTTACCAAATCCCAATAAATCCGAAACGCTTTAAACAATTTGTAATTCCTTTATTTAATAGCGATATTCCCCGCAAACTTTTTAATCGCTAGCTACATCCGCGAATTGGGGTTTTTCGACTTTGCTTAAAACCACCGCAAAAAATCGGTTTAAATAAACGATACCCCGGTATTTAAGTAATACATTTATTTATATTTTGTCCATTATGCCCGCTAACGATAATCGAAAGTGCTAAAAATTATTTGGACCTTTACACGGTCCTTACCGTAACGTTCCCTTTCGTTTTCGAAAATAAATTCGTAATTGCTAATATAATGGGCGATATTTTGCCAAATTGCTAACTTTTTAAGCATAAAAGGCTTAAAAGTAATTTTATTTTACGTAAAACCTTTTCGTTATTTAAAAATATTTTTTTTATTTTCGTTTAAGCCTTTATGCGCATATTTTAACCTTTTATTTTGGATTTTTTAAATTAAACGGGCGCGTTTGCTTTAAACCTTTAGCGCGTTGTTTATTTTTTGCAGCTTTTTTACGGAAAGGTTTTTGAAATCGTCGGAAATTTGCGGGGCTTTTTTAATATTTTGTTCCGGTAATCCAACGGCCTTTTCCAACGTATTTAACGTAGCGTCGGGCGTTATTATAAACGGTGCGAAATCGTAAATGCCTTTTTTAAACTTGCTTAATCCCTTCCGGTAATTACCCAGGCCTGCTCCCTAAATAAAAAAGGTATAAAAAAAAAACAATATATTAAAGGTTAATTGGTGCAAAAGCGGGTAATTACCGGGTTACGGGCCGGATGCGGTATTTTTTTTATTAAACTTTCGTAAATTTTTTACCAAAAGTGCTATCGCCAACAAAAATTGTTCCTTTTTTAATTTCCCTTTCCTTTGTACCCTTTCGGGCACCTAAAGTTAATTTTTTAAATTTTCCGCACTCCAAGCGCTTTCGTACAATTTAAACTTTACCTTATTTTTTAATTTCGCCATTATGCTTTGGCCGCAATACCGGTAACTTGCCGGTATGTCCCCGGGGGGTCCGTGCCCGGCTGGTTGCTAGCGCCCCCTTTTTCCTTTTTTGCCAAGCGGTTTCGCCCGTACATTTAACGCTTCCCGCTTTTTGCCGGGCGGTTTCGCCCGTGCTTTTAATATATATTTAATACGTCCGCACGTATTTGCGTACGTTTTTAGCCATACCCGGCCATTTAAATTGCCGTTTAAACTTTTTTAAAATTTTGGCCATGCTTTTGTAACCCCCCGTTGGGCTATTGTATTATTTCCAAAGCATTGTTCGTTTAAACGGTGCTAAATTCGGAATTTAAACTTTTTTTTATGCTTAAGCAAGCTATTGTTAATTTCCTAAACGTTAGGCTTGTTTTTCCAAATACCGCTTTAAACGAAATCGTTTTTTGTTTGTGCTTTAAAAATGCGCTTTAATATCGTTTTGGTATCCCTTTTAATAATAATTGTTTTTACGTAAGCTATTTTTCGAAATTTGGCTAGCAAATCGCTTCGGAATTCTTTTTTTGCTTTATTGGTTTCCCCGTTTACGGGTATATTTTAAAAACGTTTTAACAAACCATTCGCGGGGTTTCGGTATCCTAACTTCCATTTAATCGTAAAGTCGTACTTTGCTAAATCCTTAAATTACCTTGCTTAGCGCTTTATTACTTTTTTTTTATTAAAATATGGGTATGGTTTAAATGGTCGGTAATTATTTTAACAATTTTTTGTAAATAAGCTAAATAATGCCGTTACTTTTCGAAAGCTTTTACGATCGCCAACAATTTTAAATTAAGGATTGCATAGCGTAGCTTTTTTTATCGCAGCTTTTTCGATATATAAGCTACCGGGTGCTACCGGCCGTCCTGCAGCTGCAATAGCACCGCCCCTATCGCAAAAGCCAAAGCGTTGGTCCGCACGCACAACGGCTTTAAAAGGTCAAAATGTACCAATACCAAAGCTTTCGTAAATAGCAATTTTAATTTGCAAAAAGCCTTTTTCGCAATACTTTTTAAATAAAATACGGTATTTTTGCTAAAAAAGTTCGTTAAAAGCACAATAATTTTCGCGTAGCTTTTTACGAATTTCCAATAATACCCCGTAAAGCTTAAAAATACCTAAATATTTTTAACGCTTTCCGGTATTTTTTATTTTAAAATCGCAATAACTTTATCCGGCAAAATTTTAACCCCGAATTTGGTTATCCTAAATTTTAAAAAATCGATACTATCCGTTTCGAATTTGCATTTGGCCGGGCTAACGTAAAGCTTAAACCGTTCGAATCGTTTTAATACCGTTTTTACTGCCTCGCGGTACTTTTTTTGTATTTTCGAAAAAATAAGGATATCGTCCAAATATATAATGCAATTGTTATTAATTAATTCCCCAAACGCTATATTAATAAAATTTTAAAACGTTATTAAAGCGTTGGCCAAACCAAAAAGCATTATTAAGTATTTGTAATGTCCATATTTGCAGCGAAAAGCAATTTTCCATTCGTTTTTTTATTGGATCCGTATTTTGTAATAAACGTTTTTTAAATTTAGCTTAATAAAATACTGGCTTTTAAATACCCGGTTAAATATTTCGTAAATTAGCGAAAATGTTAGCCGGTTTTTTTTAATAACTTTATTAAAACCTTAATAATCGATACAAAGGCGGAACTTCCCGTCCTTTTTTAAAACGAATAAAATTCCGGCGCCGGCGGGGCTGGTTAAATGCCGGATCCAACCCTTTGCTATAGCTTCGTCGAAATACCCCGAAAAGTTTTTAATTTTTTTTTGGATAAAGGATAAATGCTTTCGTAAAGCGGCATTATTTTTTTTTCCAATTCGATCGCGTAATCCTAGCTTGTATGTTTTAGCAAAGGGTTCGATTTATAAAGCTACGCATATTTTGCAACTATTTTTTTAACTTATTTCGGGAAAATTTCCAGCCTTCCCCCGGGGTTCTCCGGGGTTTTCGGGCGTGCAACCGTTAATACGGCTATCGTTTGTCCCAATTAAATTAACTTTTTAACTATTTCCAACGAAATTATTTTAACCTTTTTAATAATTACCGGGAATTTCCATTTTATATCCCCAAATCGGATTTTAATGTCCTTTTGCTAAAACTAAAGCATGTTTAACGTAATGTTATACCCGGCCCGGGGCATTACCACGTAAAATACTATTAACTTTCGGGTTATTCCTTAGCTATCCGTTACCCAAATTTTGTATTTCCTTACCCTTAGCGTAGGCATGCGTTTTTTGGTATCGAATTACGCTAGGTAGCCCCCGTTTGGCACCGGTATTTTTCTTATTTCCACCAAAAAACGGCTATGCAATAAATTAACGTCGTTCCCATTATTAACCAGCGCTTTTAACTTTACCCGGCGATCGTTAATTTGTAAATATATTTCGGTTTTTTAGCGCGTTTTAACCGCCGGGGCGCACTTTTAGGCCCCGGTATTTAAACGGCCAAATAGCGGTATTAAATTAAATAGCAATATTTTGCTTTTTTTGGGGCACGCCGGCCGGATATAGCCCAGCTTTTTATACCCGTAATACCGTATTTCGGGCCTTTTTCTTTTCGCTTTTTGTATGGTTGCTAAAGCTAACGGGGTTTTCGGGTTATCCGTCCGTATTTTGCATGCTGCAACGATATGGTTTAGCTACCCGCACTTAAAGCAAATAACCGGTTTTTTAAAAGCTAAAACATTTGTATTCCCCGGGGTCCTTTTGTACGGTTCCGATATCATTTTTACTTTTAAGGTTTTGGTTTGCAATTTTTTTATAATGTAAAAAAAGCTTTTAAATATTATTCGTTTTTAAATTTTGGGGCGAAATCGGTTAAAAAGCAATGTTATCCTTATCCATTCGGGTGCTAATTCGAAAAGGTCGTTTTTTACCAAATCCTAGCAAATCCGGAACGCTTTAAACAATTTGTAATTTTTTTGCTTAATAGCGATATCCCCCGCAAGCTTTTTAATCGCCAGCCATATCCGCGAATTGGGGTTTTTCGATTTTGTTTAAAGCCACCGCAAAAAATCGGCCCAAATAAGCAATACCCCGGTATTTAAGTAATGCATTTGCTTGTATTTTGTTTATTGTGCCCGCCGATAATGGTCGAAAGTGCTAAAAATTATTTAAACTTTTACACGGTCCTTACCGTAACGTTCCTTTTTGCTTTCGAAAATAAATTTGTAATTGTTAATATAATGGGCGATATTTTGCTAAATTGCCGATTTTTTAAGCATAAAAAGTTTAAAAGTAATTTTGTTTTACGTAAAACTTTTTCGTTGCTTAAAAGTATTTTTTTTATTTTTGTTTAAGCTTTTATGCGCATGCTTTAACCTTTTATTTTGGATTTTTTAAATTAAGCGGGCGCGCTTGTTTTGGGCTTTTAGCGCGTCGTTTATTTTTTGCAGCTTTTTTACGAAAAGGTTTTTAAAATTATCGGGAATTTGCGGGGTTTTTTTGGTATTTTGTTCCGGTAATTTAACGGCCTTTTCCGACGTGCTCGACGTAACGTTAAGCGTTATTGTAAACGGTGCGAAATTGCAAATACTTTTTTTAAATTTGTTCGATCCTTTCCGGTAATTACCCGGGCTTATTTCCTAAATAAAAAAAGTGTAAAAAAAGGAACAATATGTTAAAGGTTAATCGGTGCAAAAACGGGTGGTTACCGGGTTACGGGCCGAATGCGGTGTTTTTTTTGTTAAGCTTTTGTAAATTTCTTACCAAAAGTGCTATCGCTAACAAAAATTGTTCCTTTTTAACCTTTTTTTTTTCGTGCCCTTTCGGGCACCCGGGGTCGGTTTTTTAAATCTTTCGCGCTTTAAACGCTTTCGTGCAATTTAAGCTTTATTTTATTTTTTAGCTTCGCCATTATGCTTTGGCCGCGATACCGGTAGCTCGCCGGCATGTCCCCGGAAGGTCCGTGCCCGGTTGGCTGCTAGCGCCCCTTTTTTCCTTTTTTGCCGGGCGGTTTCGCCCGTGCATTTAACGCTCCCCGCTTTCTGCCGGGCGGTTTCGCCCGTGCTTTTAACAATAAGCTTCCGGGTAAGCGTATTCCAAAAGAGCTTTATTTAGTGCTATACGGATATCGAAGTTTGGTTTTAAAACGATCCAAATTACCGGAATATCGTTACGATTGTTAAAATTTGTTCGGCCGCCGGCGCAACGATCCTTTCGTTTATTATTATGGCCGGGATTTGTATTAACGAAAAATACGTGCGCAACTTTTTGGATTTAAAAATAATTTTTACCATAAGCGAAAACGGTTAAACTAACGATTTAATTGCGTTCGATTGGTTTAATTACTTCGTTAAGCAAATAACGCTTTCGTCGCTTAACAAATATCGTTTATTGTTAATTAACAATTACGGATCCCATTTAACGTTGCCGTTTTGGAAAAAGTACGAAAAAAAAAAATCGTAATTTTCCTTTTTTTTCCGCATACAACCCATAAATTGCAACCTTTTAACGTCGGTATTTTTTTAACCTTTAAAGCTGCGCATTAACGGGATTTCGCACGGCAAATTAAACAAAGCGCGGTTAATTACAATTGCGCAAAATTTTTTAACGGGCTTTACAATATGCGCCGGCGTGCCTTTAAAGTTAGTATTATTAAATTAGCTTAGTTTAAATGCGGGCTTTAACTTTTCGATCCGGAAATTGTGCTTAATAATTTAAAAAATCCGTTTATTTCGGCCACGTTAAAAGCCGTAATTACCAAAAAAGTTGGTTATATTTTTAACGCAACCGAACAATTCCGCCGGATAAAGCAACAAAGCCGGTTTTTTGCCTTTTTTTTTAACGAAATTAATAAAGCTAACGAAATTTTGCGTTTGTTAAAAACGCTATCGCCTATTTTATTAGCCCGCGATTGGAAAAAAGCTACAATTTTAACGTTAAATTTATTAATAATCCGCCCGTACGAAAACTGGCTTTAAAAGCGCTTGCAATTTTTTGCCGCAACGGGCAAGCCAATTTTGCCAACGGTAA